TTTTTTTTTTTGCTGCACGCCTCACCAGAGTCAACCACATCGCCGGCCGGCCCGCCCAACCATACAACATGGCGATTCAAAAAAAAGTGCGCCGCATTCCCATAGCTCTATTCCCCTTGACGCGACTAACTTGCCAAATCAGCATGGAAAAGGTCGTCTCGACAAATGGTACAAGCTTGCAAAGGAAAAGGGCTACCGCGCCCGTGCGGCCTTTAAGTTGATCCAGCTGAACAAAAAATACAACTTCCTCGAGAAGAGCAAAGTGTTGATTGATCTTTGCGCCGCGCCAGGGTCATGGTGTCAGGTCGCATCCGAGGTGCGCAATTTGCCCATAAATCTTCCTTCCCACCTCCAGTGCTGACTCCAGCAGGTTATGCCTGCGGGCTCCCTCATCGTCGGTGTCGATCTCGCCCCGATCAAGGCCATTCCCCGCTGCATTACCTTCCAGAGCGACATTACCACGGACAAGTGCAGGGCGACGCTGCGACAACACCTCAAGCATCTCAAGGCCGACGCCGTTCTCCACGATGGTGCGCCCAACGTCGGTACTGCCTGGGTGCAGGACGCCTTCTCACAGGCTGAGCTGGTGCTGCAGTCCATGAAGCTGGCTACCGAGTTCTTGGCCGAGGGCGGAACTTTTGTCACCAAGATTTTCCGCTCCAAGGACTACAACTCGCTGCTCTGGGTCTTCAATCAGCTATTCACAAAGGTGGAAGCCACCAAGCCACCTTCGAGTCGAAATGTCTCCGCCGAAATCTTCGTCGTCTGTCGCGGTTACAAGGCCCCGAAAAACCTGGATCCCAAGTTCTTGGACGCTCGCAGCGTCTTCGCCGAACTTGCAGATCCCACACCAAACAACGAGGCAAAGGTCTTCAACCCCGAGAAGAAGAAGCGCAAGCGTGACGGTTACGAGGAGGGCGACTGGACGCAGTTCAAAGAAGTCCCCGTGTCAGAGTTCATCCAGACCACCGATCCGATTGCCATGCTTGGTAGCTTGAACAAGCTCAGCTTTGAGCAGAAGCCGAATGGTGACATCGCTGTCGCGACCATTGACAAGCTACCAGAAACAACAAAGGAGATCAGAGACTGCTGTGCGGATCTCAAGGTCTTGGGTCGTGCCGACTTTAAGCGTCTTCTTCGCTGGCGATTAAAAGTGCGCGACATTTTTGGATTCTCAGCCAAGAAGAAGGAAGAGGAGGAGAAGGAGAAGGTTAAAGATGGCGAAGCCAAAGAAGGTGATGAGGTTGCGGAGATTGAGGACATGGATGAAGAGATGAAAATCCAGGAAGAGCTAGAACGGCTGAAGGAGAAGGACTCAAAGGCCAGAAAGAAGCAGCGACGAATCGAAAACGAACGAAAACAAAAGGAAATTATCCGCATGCAGATGAACATGGCGACACCCTTCGAAATTGGCCTAGAACAATCTGGTCCGGCTGGCGACGATGGCATGTTTGCTCTGAAGGCTGTCGACAAGGCTGGGGCACTGTCAAAAATCGCCAAGGGCAAGATGGGCCAAATCATCGAGCGCGAGAAGCCTGAGGAGTCCGGCGAAGAAGAAGAATTCACAGACGACGAGGAAGACGCGCTGGAACGAGACCTGGATGCCATGTACGGTGACTACGTTGAACAGCGATCGGCCCGTGACGCGAAATACCGTGCAAAGCGAGCAAGAGGAGAAGATGAAGACGGCGAGTGGAACGGCTTCTCAGATAACGACAAGGACATGAGTGATGATGAGGAGCTCGTTCAAGATGCAGACAGTGACTGGAGTAGTGAGGATGAGGAAGGACCAAAAACCTTGATCACCAGCCTCGACAACGAGGACCAGACGAAGAGAGGTCTGACAAAGCGTGCAGCCCGATTCTTCGATCAGGACATCTTCAAGGGAATCGATGGCTTGGAAGGGCTGGACGACATGGAGGAGGACGATGACAGCGGTATCGATGTCGAAGATGATACCGAGATGAAGGACGAAGCTACCCCTGCCCCAGGGAAAGATCTACCTGTTCGAATAACGAAAAAGACAGTCACCATTCAAGCTCCGCAAGATGACGAAGACTCCTCAGACGACGAAGACAAAATCGAAGAGGTCAAACGCGACGAATCCCAATGGGAGCAAGACTCTATGCCCATGAAGAACGGCAAACCCGACATCGACATCATCACTGCCGAAGCCATGACTCTGGCGCACCAAATGGCCACGGGCCAAAAAACCAAACACGACCTTCTCGACGACTCCTTTAACCGCTACTCCCTCCGCGACGTCGATGGTCTCCCAGACTGGTTCCTCGACGACGAAAATCGGCATTCCAAAATGCAGCGCCCCACCACCGCGGCGGCCGCGGCCGCCATCAAAGAAAAGCTCCGCGCCCTCAACGCACGACCCATCAAGAAGGTGCGGGAAGCACAAGCACGCAAGAAGTTCAAGGCTGCCCAGCGCATGGAGAAGCTCAAGAAGAAGTCTGCGTTGCTGGCGGACGAGGAGGGTATGACGGAGAAGGAGAAGGCGCAGAGCATTGCGAGACTGATGAGTCGGGCAGCCAAGAAGAAGCCGAAGCAGAAGGTTAGTGTCATTGTGGCGAGGGGTGGTAACAAGGGAATCAAGAATAGGCCAAAGGGTACCAAGGGTAAATATAAGATGGTAGATGCGAGATTGAAGAAGGATGTTAGGGGCGAGAAGAGGGCGGCGAAGAGGAATAAGAAGAGGTAGATTTGCATATGTATGGCTGGGTTACAGAGCCAAAGCAGCATGTTTATGTGTAGCCATCTACATAAAGTTGGCTAAGACCGCGCAGCAACAGTGCACTCTTATGATTTCCATATAAAAAACATACAAGCTGCCCACGACCCGCTCCGCTCTACTGTTGCCAACTCAAACACAACAGCACACTTGCACACGATGCTCAATAGAAAAACCTACACCCTACCTCACTCAATCCTACTCCCAACCCCCTACACAAACACACACACCTCCCCATCCCCGAGCCAAAAAGAAAAACACCACTCCCCCGGGAAGGCTCGAACTTCCAACCTCTCGATATGCGCCCACAAAGCAACCCTGCCTGGTATAACAGTCGAACGCGCTAGCCAATTGCGCCACGGAGGATATGAGCCAAGGATGAGAAATAACCTGAGGAGCTCGTGGAACGTTTGGACACGTGATGTGGGTGGTTGCGGAAAAAGTGGGATATATATACACATGAATATGTATATGTGTGTGAGTACGTAATGGGACTTTTTACTACAGAACTTTGAAGTTTTCGGGTAGAAAGGCTGCTTGGTGGAGTGCGAGTAAGACGTGTATGGGCTGGGCTGGGCTTGATATTGGATTTGTGGGGCTTCGGTTAAAAAATATTGGTTTGAGGGTTGTGTGGTTATTGGGGAGGGGTGGGGGGTTTAAGAAGATTGCAGGGCTGGGAATTTTGTGAAGATTGTATGTTGTTGTTATTTCAGGCTTGTATTGCCATGTTTGTGCCATTTACACTGACTTCGGGGTCGTGCAGTATTGGGAATTGGGATATGTACGGCTTTGCCATGTATGCATATTCGGCGGCTGGCGAATTTGTACAAAGGTCTCTTCAGTCGAGCTAGACAACTTCTTTGGCTGAGCTGATTGGTCCTCAAAGGCATCTATCTGTAGCTTTTCCGAACTGCTACTTGCTTTTTTGGCGTTTGGTCTTCTTGTTATCATTTGGCATGGCAGCATGCCCTTGAATTTTGAACTCTGCACTGTCGAGATTCAGGACGCCGCGAAGGATGCTCTGGGTGATGAGATCTTTGTGGTAGCAAGTGATGCCATCTTGTGTCAGCTTCTCCATCTCTGCATCGCCTTCGTCTTTTGCGAGCACAATGCTTTTTCCGTTCTTGTCGACTCTCGATGTCGTTGTTGCTATCTTCTTCGCGCCGGCAGCTTTACACACGTGTTCAATCTCTGCAAAGGCTGCGTAGGTAGCCTTCAGGCTTTTGGTGAAGTGGATCGTGTATCCGCTAAATGGCGTCTGTGGCTGACCGATGACCTGGTCGAATCGAACATTCCATTCTTTCTCCTGCTTTGGAGCCGACGGTGTGTATGCTGGCGTGGCAAGAAATTGGCCGGCCTTGGCGGAGTTCAACAGCCACTTGTCTGTCACTATTGGGGTACCGCGGGCGATCGAGAGGAGCAGTTTTGGAGTCTTCAAAAGTTCGCCATCCCTCACACTGCCGAATTTCAGTTCGTACAAGTGAGCCAAAAGCGGACGAGTAAACTTACCAGAGAATGTTAAACGGCTCATCGGCTGACTCTATCAGGATACCACCGTGCTTTTTGAGGAATTTTACAGCTTGGCTGGTCTTCGTAATGCTCGAATTGCTCACGGCTACGCGAGGTGCAGGTCCATCATATCGCGTGCTGTCAGCCACTGCAGTGTTTGACCGCTGAGAACTTCTTTGTGATTTTGATGGAGTGTCGGTTGATGCTTCAGAAGCCTCTGACTTACGCTTCCTACCAGCCATGTATTTCTTGGCTTCGTCAACATCAATGTTGCTCATTCGGTTGTTATGTGTAATAGTTTCATCTTCGGTCTCTCTCTTTGTGCGTTTGTTCGATCGATTGATGTTTTCTTTCCCTCCCTCTGTTTCCATGTCATTTGTAGGAGGACTAGCACGTTTTCGAGACGCTCTGTGCAGTATCTCAACTCGTGGCGAGCTGTTCAGCGGACGTGGTGCCCCATCGTCAGCTGGTTTGGCTGAAGCTGAATCTGATTTGCTAATCGGTACATCTACTCTTACGCTGGCATCGGTTTTTGGGGATTGACCAGTCGTGCTGGAGGAAAATATGTTGCCGAGCTGCGAGGTCTTGGTATGCGCTGTGGAAAACGTCTCTGCTTCGCCTTCGTCTTTCGCTGAATCCACGACTTCCGGCGATACTGCGCCGCCTGTTGAGGCAAGGTTGTCTTCACTAGTCCCATTTGCACTAACAAACTCCGTCTCCCCTACAATTCTGTCTGTGGTGGGCGTCTCTTGAACCACAATTGATATTTGGTTTGATAGACGGGGCACCGGTGTGGCTCTAGGTCGATGGATAGCCATGGAAACCTCAGTCGCCTCGTCTAGATCTTCATCTTCTGTATCCTCTTCAGACGCTTCAGCATTGATATCAGATATCGGCAACCGTGTTGCTCTTGTTTCTGCAGCGGAGGAGTTGACTTGTATCTCCGAGGCAATCCACTTGCAAATGAGGCTAGGCACAGACCTCGCAAAATGAATCGTATCTCCGTGACGGAGGATCAAGATTTCTGATTGCTCCGCAGAACGAGGTTTCAACTCATACTTCACAGCGTCTGAGCCATCAGCCGTCGACGCAGTGGGATCAGTCTGTGTATGGCCCGGGACGATGGTCAAGGGTTCAAGAATAGCCTCGAGTCTGACGCCCCAAGTGCCAACGGCTATCACTGTTAGCTGCTACGAGTGATCGAGGTAGACTATGAACCTACTGATGCGGCCAAGTTCTACCGGTACCTGCGCGGCGACGCCTGCGACTGGGGGCAGCGTGCGAACAACTTCAACAACGAAGCCGGTCACGACAATGTGAGCAGAGTCATGATTTGGCAGGTTGAAGTTTTGCTGCCCTACTTGCCCTACAGCATCGGGTAGAGCCAAGGTCCACATGCTCGCGTTCTGTACACACACGCGTTGTGGCGGAGGTGGTGAGGAACGCGCTGTCACGAGCGTCGCGAGGACGCTAACGAATGACGTGCCTGTCTCCAACATATGGACCGCTAGTCTAAAACGGGACTAGCAGAACTAGGGGACATCACCTTGCCATGGGTTGATCAACTTCCTCTCTGTTGTCTGCCAGCGTGCATCCACTCTGCCAAAATACGGCTTGATTCTCATCAAGTTTCAAAGCCTGCTTCACCACATCGCTATGAGACCATGGCCATCCTCCTTCGATTTTCTAGTGCCGGACGTATGGGATGGTCGAGCAAAGGGTCTCAGAGTCTGGACTTCAGGAGCCAAAGAACAATAGTAAGGATTCTACGCTAAACCATCCCATCTGCCCATCAACACGAAAACGGCAGATTGGACGAGTCTTGACGATGGATTCAAGTCAATTTGTGACTGGCAACAATTGCACAGACAACGAACAGCAACGAGCCAATCCTTTGGTGTCAAGCCTGGTGCGTACACCAACCAGAGTTGCTCAGTAACGGAGGTCAGGGAGCAGGAGACAATAGCAAGGGAATCCACTGTCTCGGCAGATCGAATTCGTTTACTTTTCTTCTTCAGCTGGAAAATCATTTAGATTATCGATGTCTGAGGAGGAGGATGCGTTGGGTTAGAAGCTATTGTTAAAGTGGGCATTGTCAGGCCTCTGGGACGGGGTGTATTGATCTTCACGCTGGATGGAATATTTGTAGTACTAATTCTTGTCTCCTTTACTTTTGTAATCTCTTAAACCGTTCAATTCCTCATCATTCCTCAGAGTTGCTGGCTTCCAACTCTTCAAAGCTCCTTCCTCGACGACTGTCACGCACGACTCGCTCTTTCTACATTCGCCAAAGGTACTCATCCCTTTCATCTCGGCTTTCTCAAGTTCAACGGAATCCACATAACTTCAACAGAGAGCACCCCTCAAAGCGATCAACTCAACGCCATGTCATCGATGACTGATCCCTGGACCCAGACCATCACCATGATCGACGGCGAGGGAGGTAGCCAGGACGTCGGCTTGGACCAAGTCACCCAGTTGCAAGTCTACATCATTCAATCTGGAATCAACTATGGTGCACAAGTTGGAGCATCCATAATGCTCCTGCTGATGCTCCTGCTCCTGACGAAGGCTTCGAAGCGGAGGTCATACATCTTCCTCATCAACGGCTTATGCTTACTCGTCAACGCCATTCGCTGTATACTACTTGCCTGCGCGTTGACCAGTAACTGGTACCATCCTTATACCCAGATCATGGGCGACTACAGTCGAATTACATCCTCTGACCTCGCCACCACGATTGCTTCAGTACTGCTGACTCTCTTGATCACCTTCATGGTCTTCATGTCGCTCAGTCTCCAAGTCTGGGTAGTCTGCGTCACAACTGACCCTATCCGACGAGCAGTCACCATGGGTTTGACAACACTTGTAGGCGCCCTTGCATTTGGATATAGGGCTACTCTAGCCGTCTTCAACGTCAAGGCGTTGCTCGCACAAACGGGAATGGGCTCGCATACACGCCTTGTCTCCGATTGCTACGTTGTCCAGGCTGTCGCCATTTGGTTTTACAGCTGCGCCTTCACGTACAAGCTGGGATATGCAATCTTTCAACGACGCCGTCTCAATATGCCGCAGTTTGGGCCAATGCAAATTGTCTTTATAATGGGCTGCCAGACCATGGTGATTCCGGGTACGTCGCATAATCTTGAAGTGTCTAATACCTTGCTAACATCTCTTCAGCGATCGTCACTAGTCTGCAATTCGTTCCAAGTCTTCCCGAACTTGGCAACGCTGTCTTGACCATCGTCTGTATCTTCCTTCCGCTGTCCGCAATCTGGGCTGGCATCGACCAAGACTCCCCCCGCATTGCGAGCAGTGGCCCCGACTCCCACCATCGAATCTTCCACGCCGAATTCTACGATTCTACTACTAACAGCATTGGCACTAGCAGTAGCACTGCTTGCGACAAGAGTAGACAACTCAGCGTCTGTACCGTTCCAAAGGGCAAGGACAAGGACACTGAGAGCATGATCATGACTCCCACTTCCTATAAGAAGAAGAATATTCAAGTCGATTGCGAGTATGGTTTCTCAAGTGGAAATGCTGCGCATCACCTTTGAAGTCGTTTCGCAAGCCCCGACGTGCTCGAGAGAGCTCACAGCATCATCCATCAAGGATGTTGGTAATGACACGGCACGCGGAACCCCGAAGACTATGTTCGCCACAACGGTAACGTACACGTTGGGTCGAACAGGAAAGGAAGTGGTCAGTTGGGAATGCTGGCCTTCCTGTGTATGCTTGGATATATCTTCATTTATAGCCATCTCGGTGGCTTCATCTGTCACATATATAGCTTTTTAATAGCCGTTCACAATATATCCAAATGTTCTTACTTCAACGCTTCATATTTACATTACAGTGTACGCACTGATGTATGCATGAAGACAATTCGCTCGGTCCTGTATGATCCTCCCCTACATATCGTAGCAACCGTTCGCACGTGATGATGTGAGATGAATGCGGCAACGCTTCATGCATCATCCCGTAGAGCAAATGATTGTCCCTGCATAGCCGAATGCCCCACCTTCTCCAATCGGGCACACCCACTCATCCCAACGACACTGTCGGTTATGCGGCTCATTGACACCAGGACCCTCGAGCTTCAATGGTTCAACGACGATGCCATGCCAGAGTATGCGATCCTATCGCACACCTGGGGTCCAGAAGAAATCACCTATCAAGAGATGATATGGATCAATAGAGCCAGGGCACTGACTACTCGAACCCGCGACTCGACAGCGTCTTTCAACAGTCAAGATGATCAGACTGCACTCATATTTGCTGCCATCGAGCTGATGATACGTGGTAGCTCTGCCTCCAGTCTTGGGAGCTCAGCTGAGGAAGATCTTATGCATCGAGCGGGGTACAATAAGATAGTACACGCAGCTAGAGAGGCTCGCATGTTGGGTTTCGGGTACATCTGGTGTGATGTATGCTGTATTGACAAGTCGTCTTCAGCTGAGCTTCAAGAGGCCATTAATAGCATGTATCGATGGTATAGAGACGCAGCAGTATGCATAGTCTATCTTGAGGATGTCAAGAGACCGGATCGAGGCAATAATGATTCCGCTTCTGCCATAGCTAGAGCAGCGTTTCAAACATGTCGATGGGTAAAGCGTGGATGGACCCTTCAAGAGCTGATTGCCCCTGCAATATGTCGATTCTACTTTCAGGACTGGACTTTGATGGGCGAGAAGGTCGAATACTTGAACGAACTCTACGAGGCGACTGGTATTCCTGTCTATGTACTGGAGGAGAGACGGTCGGTAAGCGAAGTTTCCGTTGCAGAGAGGATGTCTTGGGCGGCGGGTCGCGAGAGTACACGGCTAGAAGACACAGCATACAGTCTACTCGGCATCTTCGATATTCACATGCCACTCTTATACGGTGAGGGAGAAAAAGCCTTCCTCCGCCTACAAGAAGAGATTCTCAAGACAACAGACGACTACTCACTCTTCGCATGGTGTGCCTCATCGACTCTGAAATCAACCTATCGAGGACTGCTCGCACGAAGCCCCTCGGAATTCCAAAACTGTCGCGCCATTGAACGAGAAGACGTCGTCTCCACATTCCCCATAGGCTCTACGCCCATCGGACTCCGCGTGCAACTTGAATTCCTGCCCAATGCCGAAGACAAGAGCCGTGTGCTTGCCATGATCCGAGCCAGCAATTCCATGAATCAGCGCCTGGCCATCTACCTGAAATGTCTTGACGGCAATATGCAATATGCACGCGTCGACGCCGGCACCCTGGTCCCCATTGACGACTAGCCTACTAGCCAACTGAAAACCATTTATGTACGGCAAAAGCTGTCCATACCTGCCGACTTTACAACTTCCAAGTTTAGGAGCTTCCATATTGTCCGACGTATTGCGTCAACACAACTACTCCCGCCCGTTCGCATCATCAATGCGCATCCTCGCCGTCTATAGGACGAAGCTACACATAAGCTTCGCATCCCAGAGACAGCCCCTAAAATGTTTGGCGCACTGTTACTGCGCGTGCAGTCGCCGCGATACGCGCATTCACTAATTCCGGTTGCGTTTGGATATGACTGGTCTACGTGCCATTATTGGTGCAAGGCGATGGCTGGGTTCTCATCTTTGGTCAATACCGGGGCCCCAGAGTCATAGCTCAGCGCTCTAAGGAAACGGATACCGGTAGAGATGTTTGATGCGGTGTGGGGCAGTGATGTTAGACATAACGTCTTTGTTAATAGGGATTTAGGAATCAATGTTAGTATAAGAGCAGGATTGTGTGGCGATGGTATTGTGTTGCAGGTGCTAGTTAATAGGCTTGTGAAGTGGCAGTGACAGAAATCAAGTCAACGTTTTCTTGTGCTGCCACTTTTATGCAAGTCTTGATTAGCTTCTTAAGGATATCGGCGACCATGTTGCGCGGACCCATGTTCAAGCCGTGCATTGTCAACCCATGGCTGCTTCATTGCTCTCATCCGAAATTATAGATGCCACCTAATCGCATGTGAGCACTACAGCTTTATCTGTCTAGCCTTGTCAGCCCCCAATATCCTTATGGTAGACCATCCGTTTCGTGTATTTCTTGACCGTGCCGGCATGTGTGCTACTTCATGCGATAAAGATCATCATCGAGCAAAGTACACTTAGTAGAAAAATGTAATGATCTCATTAGTATTGTAGGCATTAATATAGCGATCAACGAGATTCAAGTTAGGTAGCGCAATAACATATACCTACATGACACTACATCGGGCACCGTCATGAACAGTAACAGTGTCGACGTCGTCACACCAAAGTCAAGTCGTACCGGTACCCAGCTATCCATCGTGTAGCGTCTTACCCGGTTCGTCCGACCCGATGGGCAACGCCAAGTGCGGCTTAGTAATCGGTAGCTTTGGACTTACTCGCTAGGTAAGCCACGCATTTTCCAGAGATGCCTCGGCCTAGAGATCCACCCCCGCAACTGCTGGCTTCACCGCGGGTGCCCAGCTCATGGTACTAACGCAATGGAGTATACAACTTCAGGTCAATCAGGCTAGGTCGCTGTCTGTGCGATGTTGGGGAAGCTGTGGAGACTTGCTTTGCTTCGGGCTTTCTGAGGCCCGGTGCCGATGGAGACTGTACATTTATTCGTGGTGGTTGGGACTTTGTGCCATGCACCATGTACTGTGTACCGGTATAGGCTGGGACACACGCCGAGTATAGAACCTTTTGAGTACGACCCGAGGTTGTGGAAGTGAGTGTTTCCCCCAATGTAACGTCTTCGTCTGCACGAGAAACATGGCTCATGCATGTCAGATACATATACACCCAGGCCTCGACGCGGTTTCCAGGTTGAGCAACGCCAGATAGACTCAGTCTCCGTATATCAATTGCTGGAAGCTGTGAGGGTCACCCCCTTTCTCGCATACAGTTCCCAATTCATGCAAACCCGAATTGACAACACTGGTTTCAGGCCCCCCAACGTTCTGTTACTTCGCCACATTGCCCTCCAGAGATAGACGTCCGCCGCTCCGACTACTGCTACTTCCTGAGATTGAGGCCCCCCTCACAAATTAGCAACCATGGTCATCAAATCGCGCTGGTCCTTGCCTATACCACAAGTCTCCCTTCCAACCTACGTCTTCGAATCACCCACCGCCGAACTCCCAACCTCACCAGCCTACATTTCTGCTGCCGAGCCAGACAAATACAGCCTCTCACTCGCCGACTTCCGCCTCTATGCGCAACGCTTTGCGTCTGGCCTGCGCCGCTCCGGCCTCCAACCGGGCGACCGCGTGCTTCTTTTCAGTGGAAACACGCTCTTCTTCCCGTCCGTCATCATGGGCGTCATCATGGCAGAAGGCATCTTCACTGGCGCCAATCCGTCGTACATAGCGCGCGAGCTGGCCTACCAGTTGCAAGATAGCGGAGCGCGGTACTTGATCTGTGCAGAAGGCAGTTTGGAGACGGGTATCAAGGCAGCACAGGAGATTGGCATGAGTGCTGACCGGATCTTTGTCTTTGACGACGGCATTGCAACTTTCAAAGGCACAACTGGGGAAAAGAGCACGGAAATTGGTACGGTTCGGCCGTGGACTGCATTGCTTGATACACCAGAACAAGGCGCAGCCTATGCCTGGCCCAGTCTCAGTACCAAAGAAGAGTTGGACCGGGTCATCGCACTCAACTACTCGTCGGGCACGACGGGAGTCGCAAAGGGCGTTATGATCACACACCGAAACTACGTCGCAAATTGCAGTCAGCAAATCCATATCGCCCGCCTCGCACCAGACTACCACGAGAAGCTCCCACGGAAGACGTACCTCTGCTTCCTGCCCATGTACCACGCTATGGCACAAGCCATCTTCTGCGTCGGTGCCTGCAAGCAACGCATCCCCGTGTACATGATGCCAAAGTTCGACTTTTTAGAGATGCTGCAATATACGGAAAAGTACAAGATTACCGATCTCGTACTCGTCCCACCAGTTGTGGTAGCCATGGCGAAGCATCCTGCGTCGAGGAATTTTGATCTTTCGTCTGTGGAGCACGTGGGGTCTGGTGCTGCGCCGCTGGGCCGTGAAATTAGCGAGGAGTTTGAGAGGATCTGGAGTACGGGGCAGGTCAACGTAAAGCAAGGGTGGGGGATGACGGAAGTCACGTGTGCAGCGACGGGGTTTCACCCGGAGAAGCGCTCAGAGAGCTTCTCGGTGGGCGAGCTGCTGGCGAATGTTGAGGCGCGGATTGTGCTGGACGATGAGGGCAAGGAAGAGGCACCTCAGGGCGAGCGGGGTGAGGTTTGGGTACGTGGACCAAATATTATGAAGGGGTATTGGAACAAGCCTGCAGCGACGAAAGAGACAATCACACCCGATGGTTGGTTGAAGACTGGTGATGTGGCCTATGTTGACAAGGAAAATTACTTCTTCATTGTCGATCGAAAGAAGGTGAATTGAGATCCGAAGCACTGTTACAAGCAGGTACTAACATGGGCTAGGAATTGATCAAGGTCAAAGGTCTCCAGGTCGCGCCTGCAGAATTAGAAGCACTTTTGCTCGACCATCCGGATGTGCAGGACGTAGCTGTCATCGGTGTGAAGAAGTGAGTTGATGACTGGATTCTCTAAAAGAGGTAAACACTAATCATGGGTAGTAATGGCGATGAGCTGCCACGCGCCTACATTGTGCCTCAGTCGCCTGAAAAGGCTACAGCCGAAGTGGCCGAGAAAATCAGGAGTTGGCTAGCTGAGCGGGTGTCAAGACATAAGCGTCTTGAGGGCGGTGTTCACTTCATTGATGCAGTGCCCAAGAATCCTTCAGGCAAGATTTTAAGAAAGCAATTGAGGGACAAGGCAGCGCTGGAAGACACCAAGGCCAAGCTGTAGGGGGTTTTTGTTTCTAATACGCTGAAGGGCTGTTATTGCATCATGTCAGGCCAGGCCGCATCTTTGTTTCGACTGCGTTGTGACGTCCATGCTTCTGTAGGGCGCTTTGTCCAAATCAATGTCAGTTGGAGTGTGACTGAATTCTGGAATTCGTAACATGTGAAGTTCAAGTTCTGCTGCGCCCATATATACACATAGCCCGTTTAGAGCTTTTGTAGAAGATGCTTCGTCACGTCACTGTGGGGATCTGGGATGCTCTTCAGTTGCTCCGTTGGCCGCCCTTTGCTGCCCTCAGTTCATCCATCTTCTTCACGCGCTCCTTGAACTCGATATACTGGCACTTTTCGTATGAGTGCCTCTCGTCCTGTGCATCCGTCAGCTTCCATATTGATCCTGTGTGGACGAGGGTGAAGGGCTCACCTCGCACTTCCATGGCAGATAGTACTCCTCGTACCGACAGCGGTTCAATGGGATCAGCAGATTTGCGCATGAGTCTCGGTAGGGAATGGGCAGTCTGGCGGCGCTCATCTCCTCGCGGGTGGCCTCTATGGCATAGCAGTCAGTGTCTTTGCATCTCGCAGCCGGTGATTGGCCCAAGTGTGGCAGGACTGACTTCTCGGCTCGCTGCTGAGGCCGACGGCATTCTTGATCGTCTCGGTGACAGTCATGCTGGCGGCAAACGGGGGGAGGTTGAGTGCTCAATTGGCGCGGGGGAATGTCCTGGCGGTGATGCTTGGGCGGGTGTGTGGGTGAATGGGTGGATGTGAGTGAGTGATGAGTGATGCGGTCGTCGGCACAGGCCCGCCCCGGTCACCGCCCGGCGCCCGCTCACCCGCCAAGCGAACGCGAACGTTCGCGACTTCGCGTCTCACCAGGCCAGCAACTTCACGAGGTCACGCTGTGCCGACCAGCTCAGCTGCCCACCCTCCAGCCTCTCCACCCCACCCCCGCCAAATTAATTTTTTATTTCTTTGCCGGCAGCCATGGTCAAGATACCGCCTGCTCCGGACGGCAAGATCTACTCGGCCACCTATAGCAATGTAGGTTTGTGTGCTTGCCTTCTTTCTCTTTGCGCATGCTGCTTGTGTCCGCTTGCGAGATAGCCGAGGAGTGACGGAATGCGTGAAGCGCTGCGCTGAATGAAACCTGGCATGGCCTCTGGCGACCCTATTCACTGACTTTACTTGCCACCAGGTCCCCGTCTACGAGTGCAATGTCAACGGCAACCATGTCATGCGCCGCCGCGCCGACGACTGGATCAATGCCACACACATTCTCAAGGTCGCCGAGTATGATAAGCCCGCGCGAACCCCAGTAAGGCCGGCTCAGTAAGAAAGAAGATACTCA